GTCTTTGAACTCGAACCCTTTCTATAAAGTGAACCAGAGCAGGAAAGTGGAGAAAATGAAGATTCAAGAACATGAATTATTTCTCTTTGTAAGGTATCTGTACTGAAACTGTAAAGGATTCTTGGTGTCGGTATAATGAGGGTGTTAAAAGTAACGATACGAAAATTGGGAATTTAGGAGTGATTTAATGTAATCACTTCGGTTTTCGAAAGAAGTGTGAGGTAGCAAATTCTTTTTATTTTGTTATGTTTTTGTTTTTTACAGGTAACTTATTCTTTCTATCGTTTAGCTAATCTGTCAGTTTTCAGTTTACACTTTAACGCTAGCTCACCTCCTAGCTAATCGAATGAACTTTCAGATTCTACGAGTTATCAGACTGACACCAGTTTCCCATATCGGTGACGTACAGATATTTATGTTGGTAAATAGTATGTAAATAATGATCATATGAATTAATCTGTTCTAACTAGTTAATTAATTATTGCAGCTTAGCTTGTCTTTGAACTCGAGGATTTCCCGTAACTTGAGCCGGAAGTTTGAGAAGTTGAAGATTGAAGAATATGAACGGATTATCTTTGTAAGATATATGTATTTAAACTATGTGGGATTCATGATGTCAGTATAACGAGGTCGTTAAAAGTAAGGATAGGAAAATTGGTAATTTAGGAGTGATTAATCACTTCATTTTTCGAAAGGGGCAATGAGTGTGAGGTAGCAAGCTTTATTTTTTATTTCTTTGTGGTTTTGTTTTCAGTTCACTTTATTATTCTTTCTCTTGTTTAGTTAATCTATGATATTTTAGTTTACAATTAAACGCTAACTCACCTTCTAGCTAATTACGTCATTTAAAGTTTATAAGAGTTATGAGACTTACATCAGTTTCCCTATCTGTGACTTGTAAATAATAATGTCGGAGAAGAGTGTAAATAATGTTAAAATACATCTTTAATCTCTTGAATTAGTTTCCCATATCAGTGACGTACAGAGACCAGTTAAATCTGCAATAATTAAATAACAAATCATGGACATACTCTTTACCAATATTAATAAACGAAGTTCGAGTTCTAACTACAGATATAGTACAAGGAGAAACCATTTTTTATTTATTCGACTTTCTATTTCGGTTCTAGTTCACCTTCCTTACTTGTAATGTTATACTGACATCCTACACGGTTTAAAACTTAATTTTAAACTGATTAAA